TTTTGCAGCTGCGCAGAATTTTCTTCTCTTCCTGAAATAGTGTTCAATCACGTGGCGGCATAGCACTCACCCAGACATACGCTGTTCACTGGTTGACCATAACTATCAGCAGGAAACGGAACAAATTTTGGGTTGTCGCTCAACTTTGATGGTGACCTTGGTGAAGGATTTACAATTTAACAATTATGAGAACCTATTCTGATTGCTTGTACAATGACTGAACAATTGAAACTTTTGAAAAAGTATTAATTCATGATACTTCAGGACTGTAATTTATAAGATAACTGATCGTGCCTATAAAAATGGCATTCATTTCTTGCAAACTTACCTGTTTATACGAAAAATAAATTATTATTACGTCATAGATGAAAGGAATTTCTGCACTAAGATCTATCGTATCCAATCATCCTGACACGGTTCGTCATAAGGAGTATCGCGGGGTTCTATCCAAGTGCCATTGGCGCTTTCGACTTTTATCAGTGACTTACCATACTATCCAAACTGCCCGACTTTCCTCTACTCCAATTATGTAAAGTTTTGGAAGGCAATAGAGTGCTCGGAACACTCAGATAGCTGCTGACAGACCATGAACATCTCGAGGACGGGGCCGATGGCCAGTGGTATTACTAGCAACCATAAGAAACTGTTATGTATGTGAATATGAGGACCTTGTAGACTACGAGCGAATCTAACTAATGCGCTGGCTAATCTGTCTTAATCGCACGTCAACAACAACAACAATAATACCGCCGGGCACGCAAGACAAATAAAAGAGAAGACTGGACGTTGATATGAGAGCTTTTACTGTCTCAAACAACAGTCGAAAATGTTAAACAACAACTCCGTATTTATACAATTAGAAAAATCAATGTCACATTTTAAAAATATTAACAAACCCTGGGAATTCAGTAATTTAAATCAATAATCACGCAGATGCGTGAAATCACTGATTATGCTAGTGTGTGAAATAAATAATGAATATTAATGATTCACCTGCGTATATATTACCTCCCCCTTTTAAAAGGAATCTTGCAAACAGTTTAGTATCTTTTTTCCTTGGGGTCGACTTGGAAATGAACTGTTTGTGTTCGTTTGCGCTGGGATCGTCGGCTGGGGAGCATCTCCTGTTTTGCTTCTGATTTGACTGGTGGTATTTTGAAGGTTTCCAGTAGTAATTCCAGTGGCAATTTAGGTTCTTGGGATGTAGTATATCGACGTCGTATCTGATTTTTATGTCTAATCCACCATTCATCCCCAACTTTAACCTTGTACATTAGAGTTCCATGTCGACGTTCTATCAAGCCTTCGGCCCATTTTCTGTTCCTCGGTCGATAATCGCGCACATAGACGGCATCACCCTTGCGGTAATACTTCAGACTATTTCTTCGTTGATGTGACGAAGATGGTAACATGGAGTGGTGATGAGTTCGTAGCATTCGACCCATTAGAAGTTCTGCAGGGCTTTTCTTCTGTTCTGTCAGTGGTGTAGTTCGGTATACAAAAAGAAAGTTTTGTATTGCTTCCGGTTTCGCCCCTCCCCCTGCTTTCAACAAGGCTCGTTTGAAGGTGTCGACAAATCTTTCTGCCTGACCGTTGGATTGAGGGTGATAAGGTGGCGTCCGCACGTGTTGTATACCGTTTCTCCTGCAAAATTCCTGGAACGCTTGTGAGGTGAACTGACTGCCATTGTCAGATACGATGATTTCTGGTATACCGTGACATGCGAAGATCTTTTCCAGGACTGATACTGTTCTGCTGCTAGACGGTGGTGTCACTTGTATTACCTCCGGCCATTTTGAGTAAGAGTCCACGAGAACCAAGTAGTATATACCTTCTATCGGCCCAGCAAAATCCACATGTAGTCGGGACCATGGTTTTGACGTGGGCCATGCTCTCGGTGGCGGATCTTTGGCTGCCGTGACAGACATCACCTTCAGTTTTTGAGCAGAGCCCGTCTTACGGGAGCTAACAGTTGCTACTTTGTTGCTACCAGACATCGAAGCACTTTTGGCGCAGCCATACTCACTGTGACGATTCAAAATTGGTTTTTCATTAATCACGTCATTCTTTCTAATGGGCTTAGGTTTAATATATCTGTCTCTGATTTCTGGTTTTCTTGTTGAGGGCTCAATACTTTCAATCTTCTGGCATACACTGCTTAACGGAATCTCTGACAGATGCAGCTTCTCGAACCAGTCTAAACCCAAGAGGTCAAGGTTTGAATTGTTGATGTAGCATGTGCCGACGAAATGACTATCGCGAAAACTAACGCTGCATTTAATTTCTCCATTCAATCGAAGTCTTCCGCCACATGCACTAATTGCTATCTGATTAGTCTTCTCTATGGCAGGGCATCCCAACTTCTGCCATAATTTCTTTGATATTATTGTAATATCGGATGCTGTGTCGATTTGTAGGCGTGCCGGCCGTGTATTAATCGTCAGATTGATATATTTGCGAGGTGCTGGAGTACTAATATGATATGTGGCAGTAACACCCAAAGACTTGAGCTTGTTGCGTCGTCTGGGTCGACTACGAGATCTGGGTCGGTTGTTGCGTTTGCAGTAGCCATCTTTGTGACCAACAGTATGGCATCGACGGCATTTATGCTGTTTGAATGGGCACAAGTTTGCAAAATGCCAGGAGCCACAGTGCCAGCAGGCTGATGGTGGTTTATGCTGAGGATGAAGCGGTGCGGTTGATGTCGACGGTACTGGATGCACCGCATGCACTTCTGCTGCATTTTGGCTGCCAGACTGCACCAAGACGGTATCGTTGTGAATGTTGATTAAACGCTGATATTCTTCACCGACGTCTTTCAAAGTCATTCGTGGATCTTGTTCCAGACGATTTAATAGACGTGTGCGTATATCAGCAAATTTGGGAGACTGCAAACCACAGATGAAAATCAATACCTTGAACTGGTCTTCTGAGAGTGATTTTAATTTAAAACGTTCACACGTGCGATTGACTATACCCAACTGAGTATGGATATCATCATTTTCGTTCAAAACTAGTTTCATGCAATGATATCGAATGTTGAACAAAGATCTCTGATCACCAAACTGATGACGAAGGGTATGGACAGTTTCATCGAATGATCTTTCGCTGGGCTTCTGTGGGAGAATTAAGTTGCAATATTTATCAAGTTCATCTGCTCCCAATTTACGAAGTAGAAGCCGTACATTCCAGGCATCATCTTTATCCGCAAAGTCTACTCGAAATAGGTCTTCATATCTGCGAAACCAGGTATCAAAAGTCACGTTCGCATCTGGATCATAAACGAATTCTGAGATGCTGCTACCAATGCTGTCGTTGGCTGTAGATGAATCAACAGAGCGCGATATTTGTAGACCAGCAAGCATTTCCATCAATTTTAGCTGCTGTTCCATTAGTTTCTCTAAACGCAGTGGGTCCATCTTCAGCAAACCCGTCGCCAAATTTGTTATGTATGTGAATATGAGGACCTTGTAGACTACGAGCGAATCTAACTAATGCGCTGGCTAATCTGTCTTAATCGCACGTCAACAACAACAACAATAATACCGCCGGGCACGCAAGACAAATAAAAGAGAAGACTGGACGTTGATATGAGAGCTTTTACTGTCTCAAACAACAGTCGAAAATGTTAAACAACAACTCCGTATTTATACAATTAGAAAAATCAATGTCACATTTTAAAAATATTAACGACCTTGGGAATTCAGTAATTTAAATCAATAATCACGCAGATGCGTGAAATCACTGATTATGCTAGTGTGTGAAATAAATAATGAATATTAATGATTCACCTGCGTATATATTAGAAACGCAACATGGTGCGACTACGCAGCTGAAGACTGCAGATTGTAAGTCACACCCTATGCATCAAAAGCTTCTTTTGCACAACGTCAGAGCGCGACTCATGTCTAGTCCAAAAGAAGAAACGGACAGAAGCGGGAGTTACTCGAGGGGTGTAGCGAGGGCACATGTCGTCATACAATTTTAAGCTAGACAGTTAGGTGTGCCATCTCCTGAACATCTTATAAGATTGTAAAAAACATGCTTCAGACCACACCTCGAGGTGTGCAACACCACTGCAACACTAATGCTTAGGAGAGACACAAACCTTCTGGGAACAGTCCAAAGACGGGTCACGAAAGGGGTGATGGGACTTCGAAACAAACCGTATGACGAACAACTTCTCACCTAGCTACTGTGGACTTAGGCGGGACTTAACAGCTGCTAGTAGGATTAAAAATGGTCAGAATCACCCAAACAAAGGTATTTTGCTACTGCGTACCTAAGGGCTTCACCGTCGGAATCAAAGAGGAACAGCTTACCAGAGAGCAAATAATCAGGTGCCCTCTTACTTCTTTTTGTTTTGAGTTTGTTATCACTGGAATGCTCTACAGATAGATGTGGCAACTTCACAGTCGACGGAAGGCTTTATTCAGAGACTGGACAATCGAACAGCGACACAGGGACTGCGTCCAAATGGCCTATCTCCTTAGAATCCCATAAAATATTAATGGGTAGACGCAAAAACTCGTTTTATCTTACATCCTCTTTTGTCTCACTCTCTTTACTACTTCAACTTTTACATCCCTTACACTACTATTATTATGGATTTGTATACATATATATCAATTTCAAATTTCATTAACTATCTGTTTTCACGTTTTCTTTTTCTTTTTTCCACCTACATATCCTACACTAATTATATCTGTTATTATCCCTTATTTTCGATGACATCGTGTGAATAATAGTAAAAAGGTTAACTCAATTCACAGTGTCAACACGGTCTTAACACACCGCATGCTACAAGCTACATATAACTGATCAGAGGATCACTACTTTCGGAGTCAACCAAAGCTTCGACAGCCGAATAATGGGATGAACTACGCAGAATTTCACCGAAGGCCGGGAAAATTTACCTCACAATCAAGAAGAGAGCACAAAGAAATCAAATTGGTTTACACTAACCGGTCAAAAACGATGTTGGATATTCAAATTGACCTTGAGACCATTTCAAGACGATGCGTTACTAAGATGTCTTGTTTCACATTTTTGTCTCGTGTCCTGCGACCACCAGCCAACATACCTGCGGAGTCACCTGACACCTGCATAAGCCTCAAGGTTTACTGCATATTTATTCTTTCCAAGATGTAGTTAATGCGACTTTGTGGTTTGGTATCTTCAGATGCTAATGGTATTTATGCCTTTCAACCTGATTTATTTCGTTCTCTGCGCAAGCTGGAAAACCTAGTGGATGACCAGATGACAAAGCTAGGGGCTCAGCGTGTTTTGCTGCCCACTCTTGGTCCAAGACACCTATGGGAGAAATCTGGTACGGTAAAGTATATGAGTCTAGATGTATTTAGAACGTTGGTCAAATATGAAAAGTAGCTTATTTAAGCTCAAAGACAGACTGTCCCACGAATATTGTTTACAACCGGTAAATTTCTGTGGGATTTAAAATATTTTTTTTCAGACACATGAAGAAACAATTACTAATTTGGTCGCTTCTCTAAAATTAACTTACAAGGATTTGCCCATTTTATTGTATCAGGTACACTATTTCAATTTGTTGTAATGTTGCAGATAACTAGCAAATTTCGAGATGAGCCTCACCCGAAAAACGGTCTAGTTCGCGGACGTGAATTCTTAATGCAAGGTATCCTCAGTGTACCTTTTTACGGGATTCCTCAGATCTTTACACGTTTGATACATGTGCCGAAACGGCTAAAGAAACTTACAGTCATGTAAAGACTGCCTACATGAAATTGCTAGACAACCTGGAGTTGCCATATCTGGTAGGTAAGTTCAAAATGAATCACGTTTGTTGTGCATTTGATGAGTATGGGCGAACACTAGTTACGAATTTGCATCTCTGGATAAAAACTACAGAAAAACATATATTTGTATTATTTTAAGTTTTCCCATGATTCCAAATTCACGGCTGACCATCGGAATTCTGAAAGTAAAAAGGTCGTCATGTTCTGCGTACGTTTACAGAATTGAAGTTAGACTGCAATTGATCATCATATGTTAGCAGTAACTACAAACTATCCTATGACTTTGTTCCCATTAAATTTCAGCTGCAACATGTGTAACATACTAGAAGTAAGAATTTGTTGTGCCTTACAATTCATCAATTCAGACCACAACAACTGAGGCTTAATCAGGATGAATCACATAAATACTGGCTTATAATGGGGTATGGAGGTACTTGGCCTCGAAATATTCACTCATGAAAGACCTAGATCTTAGTCTTTTGTTTATGTAACAGCATAATTTTCGATTTATTTTCATAAAGCTCGTGCAGATTCAGGCCATGTTGGGGGCGAATTTTCCGATGAATTTCACATTCCTTCATCCGTGGGAGAAGATAAAATACTAGTATGTCCCAAGTGAGTTTAGATACGAGTTTTTTCTGCTCCACATTTAGGGTCAAAAATGTGTAGTTATATGTGTGCACATGATCCCAATTCAGTGAGTTAATGAGGTAACTTTAAATAGCAAGGAAAAATAAAGTGCCTTAACCTGTACTGTGAATTCTAGTTGAGTTTAGGTGGAAGTAGCTTTGTTTCAATATCGTATCTCGTAAGTATGAAAGATGAATACAAAATGCATTTGCCATTATTATGTTGCAAAATATGGACATTATCAAATCCTAGAGGTTGCGAATTCTACTGTCGTATGTGGACTGTACCATTACTTTATTTATAGTTTGACTTGCTACGATTGCTGCTAATTACCATAAGGATTGATCGAAATACCAAGCTTGAGTTTTCAAAGTAGCCATGTTAACTACAGTCTGCAGTTAATTCGTTCTGAGTGTTACGGGGACTCCAGCCACGCAGTCTGCACGTGGCTATGTGGTTCAAATCAACAGTCAAAGACTTCACGGATTGATACCATGTTTTGATTTGACCACTCTTTACATTTTACCGATCCAGCCTTATGTCAGTTAAAATTCCTCAAGGAAAAAGGTGGTGGCTCGGAGAATATAACACATCTTAGCCGTCTCAATCGATGTAGCCTCACATCTCTGATTGGCTCCCTCACCTTATTACATCGGTAATATTAATCATCATATTATGCCACTTAAATGAGAGCGAACTATCAGATGGTACATACGAACGTTGATCCATAGTCAGTCACCACACGTTGGAAATGACGTAATTTGGCAGATGCCATTCGAGCCTTTTGTGACGTGCTGAGATTTCGTCAACAATCAGTCTACTACAGCTGGTGCAACTTCCCAGATATGTAGACTGATCAACATGCTCAACTACTTCACTGTCTATCTCTAAACTAGGAGTCGATACAGACCAGTCCTACAACATCATCTTACTTACATTTGACACGGACGAATCGCATGCCAAATATCCCAAGGTTTCTGTTGGTGTTGCATGTATAGCCGAAGGGGAGTATTTTCTCAGAATTTTGGTCTACGAGTTTTCTTGGAGGTCAGTTGGCTGCTCTGAGGTATTCACTGATTTTAAGCTTCATTTCACGAGACGTTTGTCTTACATATAATATAACATCACGTTTTGCACATTTCGTTGTATGAGAGAAACCAAATGGTGATCCGTGTGCACTCTTGACGTTGGCGAATCGCATGCCAAGCATACTAAGCTTGCTGCTGAATTCAATCACAAGAATCTGCATCTTGTCAGACTCTTCACTTGAAACGACTATATTGTCTGTATTCTCTACATCGACGAGACTCTTCCCAGACGACTAGCCAGTAATCCATAAGTCACCGAAATCGATCACGTTCTCAGCCATTAGTACAGCTGTGATGAAATTAAACAGAAATGGAGACGTTGGCCATCCATGGTTGTCATAACTCCATAAGCTCTGACGCGGTTGAATGAGTTAGAGTAGAGTGAGTCGACATAGTCGAATGAGGCCTTCAGGTGAATAAATACGTTAAGTGATGGACGTCGATAAGTGTGACAATGTTTCAGAACCTGTCGATGAGTGTAGTTATGATCGATACACTCGTTCATGTCTAAAGCCTACCTGACTGGCTGTAATGGGTTTGTTTCTCCCGAGATTCGCTTAGTTTACTCAGGATTATGGAAACCAGGATCATAGATAGAGCCTTATTCAATCTGATCTCCCTTTGATTACTAAGAGAAGCAGATTTGCTTTTCTTTTTAGAAACTATCCACACAAACTAGCTGAAAAATTTAATATCTGTAAGGTGGATTTTTTAGACTCACCATTTTGGCCAGGTGGGGTTAAGAAAGTGACCATACTTAAGTCTGGTATGTGTGCCTCCGAAACAACATTCATGCATGGCTCGAGTAGCCAGAGTTCTAGCTAGTAAAATCTGTTGTCTGATGAGAATAGGATGGAAAGTTGTATTTGCGTGGGGCTAGAGATACTTTCTAGCTGACTTGTTATACTTATTAGCGTTGGGTTTCCATGTGCCAATTCGCATAAATAAATAAACTTTTGAAAGGTTATCATTTCTCGAATTGTAGTAGATAATTGAAGTATATATTATTATTGTTCCCTTGGGTTCCTAGTGGAACATAGGGTTTCAACTACACGTCTCCACTTGCTTCTGCTGTACTTTTCACCTACGACCATGTTAATCCATACTGTTTCAATTCCTCTTCGCACGATCTCCTCCATGTCACCCTTCGACGTCCCACTCGCCGCTTCCCTTTCGGGTTCCACTCGAGCTATGGCCTGACGTGCGATGTCACCCAGCGGCCTCCTCAGCGAGTGTCCAATCCATCTCCACTTTCTCCCGCATATTTGTTGAGCGATTGGTTCTTGTTTTGTTTGTTCCCATAGTTTCTTGTTGGTGATTCTTTCCGGCCATCTGATCTTCAGTATAGAGCGAAGACAGTTGTTGATAAAGGTCTGCAACAGGCTGTTGGAAATATTCTTTGTGACCCGCCAACTTTCTGATCCGTATAGAAGAACTGACTGACTTGACGTTTGTATTGAAAATCCGAATTTTGTTGTTGATGCTGAGTTGAGTGACGAAGATTTCCAGATTGGTTTCAGGTTGATGAATGTGTTTCTCGCCTTCCCGATTCTCGATTTGACATCCTCGTCCGTTCCTCTTGTAGTTGAGACAAAGCTCCCTAGATAAATGAATGAAGTAACCTCTTTCAAATCCCTCCCGTTGATGGTGATTGGCGCTGGATGTTGCTGCTGTTGTTGTTGTTGGTTGGTTATTTTCATAACCTCCGTCTTGTCTATGTTCACCTGGAGTCCTGTCTTTGCTGCTTCTTCGACCAGTTTGTCGGTTTTCGCTTGTAAGTCTTCGATTTTGTGTGACATCAGACATAAATCATCCGCGAAATCCAGGTCTTCTAGGTTCTTCTTCATGTCGGTCTAGGATATCCCTGTCTTCTCGCTTCCCACTGTCTGACGCATAATACAGTCCACCACAATTAGGAATATCATTGGTGATAATAAGCACCCTTGTCTAACTCCTGTGTTTACTCCAAACGCCTCGCTGTTTTCCGTTGTGGATTACTAGCTCGCTAGTTTTCTAGGCGGTCCCAGGCCCGGATAAAGAGGGAGGGTTGGGGCGTGGTGCTAGCAACTCCACCCCTAAAACTTAACCAGATTGCTACAGAAACTTCAATGCTCTTCTAAAATGACAAATCTCAATAGTTAGGTCGTTTATGACGTCGATGCAAATGGCATAAAATTCTAATTTACGCAGTAAAAATGCTTTTAATATTAGCACATGTTGATTGTGTAGTAAAATTATTCTACATCTTCAAAATCTACAGGTGCTCCGTCGCTTTCAACGCTGAGCTCCAAGGTATTTGATATTTTAAATAAATAGAGTTAACTTCAGATCAACTCAACCACCATTCACGATGCGCACTGAAGTCTTGTCCACAGGCATTCCAAGAAGTGCAAGGAGTCGAGGTAAGCAATATAATAATGCGATTTCATCAGTAACACTACTCATCCTAATTTCCTATGTCAACTTTTTTATTTGTTAAAAAAAAATAATAAGTTTGTATTTCAGTAGGTAAGAGAATACGAAATACAGACATTTTTGAAGCATTTCATTACAACATCACAGAGTTGAGTATACGAAACAGTTGAATCTTGTCTTTACTCTTGATTATAGGTTGCTCATTGTTTCCTTTTGGGTGAACGGTATTCAAAGTGCTTTAATGCTGCTTACCAATCCCTAACAGGTCAAAGGTAAATCGCAACAATCCATATTATGTAATAAACTCACAAAACCTTTTTTAATAGGCTGTTGTACATGGGTTGTTATGGTCTTGGAATATCACGTCTACTTGCTGTATCTATTGAACATTTGACAAGGACTTCATTTCCTGAGAAGCCTGTACATCAGATTACTCAGCTTCGATGGCCTGTTCGAATCGCGCCGTACAGTGGAGCTATAGCCTTTCAAAAGGTGAGATTATTCTCATGAACAGTCCTCAATTTAGTATCACTGATGTCTGTCATTATTTTATATAGATTCTGATGAAATATCTCGTTCCAAGGGTTTCTCTGTACCCTCTATGCGCGTGTATTTAAAAAGCTTATAGTGTAGTCAGCATAAGACTACCCTTAACCTGTCAACATTGAGTGAATACTTTTCCTTCCGATATATCAAAGGAATTCCTTTTTCCTGAACGACGGGCACAAATGAAGAACTATTTTATTTCATTAGACAATCGATTCATTTTTTTTGTGCAAATCACATCTGCCATAAACACAGTGGTATACCCGAATATTCTTTCTTTTTATTTTAAGGAAACCGCCAAAGATGCGCTCAATATACACGAACAGGAGACTATTCTGGATACTGTTCAATGTCATCCAACAAATATGTTGCAAATGCCCGGTGATATTCTCGTGGATGATCGGAAGGGAATCAGTTTGGGTAGGAAGGTCGTCGACCTCAGTCGTCTCGGAATACCCTTCATTTTTGTTGCCAAGGTATTTATTTACTGATTTGCATATTACACAGATTTATCTAACGAAGTATCTCAGTGTTGTATGTAAGTCAATTTAAGACGAAATAATACAGTAAAGAATTTAAGGATGCGGCGTTGTTCCGGGATTATACATTTCTAAGAATTACATGGTAGTTGATCTTCTTAAAAGACCAGTAACCATCAAAACTGCAAGCTTAATTGACAACTAAATCGCAGAAACACAAAGTCAGCTAAGGCGTACATTACGAGGTAGACTATCGCCGGTGTCATCATGATGACAGTCATTGAATTTAGGCACTATCCTTTGCAAAAATTATTCCAATTAATAGATACCGATATCACACAAAAATCCTGTCCACCCCAAATGATCATCAAAAACTAATATTCGCAAATTTTCAATACTTTATTATTCTGTATGAATATTAAGGAGGGGAAATGTACACATATACGTAGTCCTGATCATTAGGTACTACTGTCACCAGAATAGGATATCTTATGCAAGCGTCCTCTGAAAGTCACGTTCGTCGTTCAAGAGTCAAAGAATAAGAATAAATCGGAAAGCAACACAACATCAGTTCCAAAATACTCACAATAAACTAAACTTAACAGTGCAACACAAACAGCCGTTCGATTTGTACTCTGATCTCTCACAAGTCCTCTAGAGGTGGTTTTTGATAAAAAAAAATCAACAGTTGTCGTTCATAATCTCCTTTTATTATGCAAATTAACATGTACCAAATTCACTTTCAGAGTCAGAAGAATAGCATGTATGAAATGATCGATGTGTACAAGGAAAGATCATGTGCAGTTACAATGGAGCAGGCAAAAACAGCACTCAACAACCCTGGGACATTTGATTCATCCTCACTTCCATCTTGGAGTTATCAACGAGATGAAAGTATACAATATGAAAAAGACTAACTAACTGCAAATTTAGCAAGTGAAGAAATGAGTAATGTAAACTTGTAAACTGTATAAACTGTACAAATAAAATGTGTGCAATGCAATAAAATCCAAATTTCGTATTTCACTTTTTCTTCCTTGTCCATACTTTGCGCCATACAGACTTCTCAGATTTCTCACCGCTCAAAACTGCGACCCTTGAAGTATCTTTTACTGCTGGATAGGCTTCTACGAAGCGAGCAACCTTCATGTCTGAATCATGAGACACAGCATGTTTCAAACGCATATGTAATCGTTTAGCCGCGGAGGTTTTATGTCTGTGGTCAGCCCTCTTGTCAACCATTGGGACAGGATTACGTGACAAGAAGAAAGTGGTCGCGGAATGAGCAAGAGATGAATTCTTCCCAGATCTTATTTTGAGGGGAACTGTGGCTAACTCATGAGCACTGCGAGTGCGGGAGAGAGTGACTGAATTCAACAGATATTCCGGGGTTTCTGGTATACACGGTAATTCGAGTGAAGAAGCGGTTTGTGAACAGATAGTCTGCAAATAATTAGTAAATATAGAAACATTTATTATTTCAGTGACACCGTAAAACAAGTCGCTTCACTAACTGTAAACTCGATGGTCAGTATAATTCATGATTTACAAAGGAAATAAAGTGAATCCACTATACCTGATTTTAATTCCTACGTCTTAAACACAGGAAGAACATAGAGTATCTATCACACAAGTTATGCATTCGGAAACTCAATTCTAACAGTTACGTGACTGCCTAAGTGACCAAGGATTGAAGTTAGGTGAATTAAACCGGAAAAATTGAAGGATAAGTCTTTCAAAGCACAGAAAGATTACCGCACTTCCTTGTATCCGTTGTTTACAAGTATATTAAGTAAGGTGTACTCCAGTGATTCCAGGATCCAAAAGGATATACCACGTCATGCTAGCTACTACTGACACTTTATGATAAAGTCTCCAACAGCATAACTCCCCTTCAGGATCCTACACACAGAAGTCTAAACTTCCCCACTAAGATTAACACCAATAACTCCAAGGATTGCCACCGCGTTCATGTTCCGAAATGAATGAAGTGGTCTATGCCCTCAATCATTTTCCTGCTTATCCATTCATCAATTAGAAGTTGTTTGAGAACAAATGTGAAAAGAGCCAACTACATGCCAAACATATTCAGCATTCATAGCAGGATGTTCAGTAGTCTCTCTGCATTTACATTTTTAAACACCACATACAACTACTGATACATGTACGAATACACCTATAATGAAATCGCTATCATCAGTAACACTAGTAACGATGAACATTATTTTTCGCAGGCAGACACTACTCTGTGTCGTTAACGTTACCTTATCCCGTGGTGACAGTTCTCTTCATATGTGTTCACTTCTGTCTTCCCTTTCCTTATTAATTACTAAGTAGCCACATGATCTTTAGCATCTCAGATATTACTATTACAAGGAAACTTATCCTTACGGAATATTGAGATGATCAACTCAGTCGCTCTCTCTCTCTCCCTCTCTGTATATCTAACAGGAGCACCGAAGATGATGCTTCAACTCGTAGATTTATGTAATCTAGTCCCTTATTTATCACCACTATATTTAAACATCTTCACAACATCAGGTCGGTCGGTTTTCGACATAGAACTTTGCACATATGTGCCGCAGTTCAAGTCGCCACACTCCATGTAGCACTCAAAGGAAGAGAAGAATGTAGGAGAAATGCATAATAATATAGACAGTAAACAGAGGTGTGAGACAAAGGAATAGTAATAACGAAGAACAAAACAGTTTCATTGGACAGGATTTGAGCCATGTCACCAATTGTTTCCAACCATTGGTTTTTACCGTCCCGAGGACCCCAACCAGGAAGTCTACACCTTCCTACGTGGTCGCCTTGAACTAACTGTTGTGGATTTCATTGACTGGTGCCATGTTTTCGTTTGACCGCCACTAGCTCTTTTCCAGCCTGGCCCTATATCAGCTAACATTGCCCGTCGAGGAAGGCGATGACCAGGCATACGTAACACATGTCCTAACCATCTCAGTCGATGTAATTTCACAGTCTCGTCTATTGATTTTCCCTCCTTGCCTAGCACTCGACGCCTAACCTCAATATTGCTCACCTTATTATACCACTTCACACGGGAGATAGAACGCAGACACCTATGATCGAAGACAGCTAATCTTTTCATGTCTTCCTCTCTCAATGGCCAGGTCTCACAGCCATAAAGGAGGACGGAGCGGACTGTTTAGCAGTACACACGCCCTTTGGTCGACAGCCAGCCGTATATCGCGTCTACGCCAGAGACGGCGTAAACTGGCATATGTGAAACTAGCCCTCTGTATTCGTGCTGAGATTTCGTTAGCGATCAATCCGTTGGTGCTGGCTGATACAACTTCCCACATGAGTGAAGTGGTCAACGTGCTCTACCACTTCACTTCCTATTTCTAATCTAGGGGTCGGTGAAGTCCAATCCTGCAGCATCATCATCTTACATTTTACGGGGGCGAATCGCATGCCAAACATACGAAGATTGTTGCTCAAGGTGTTCAGTAGACTCTGCATTTTGTCAGAGTCCTCGCCTAGAAGGACTATATCGTCCGCATATTCTAAGTCGACGAGATTATTCCCTGGTAGCAAGTCAATCCCTGAGTCGCTGAAGTGTGTTAGGGTTAAGTCCATTAGTACGTCTATGATGAAGTTGAATAGGAATGGGGATAATGGGCATCCTTGACGGGCGCCACTAGTCGTCACCACTTCAGATGACAACTCGCCATAAGCCATCACCTGGCTGCATGAGTACGAGTAGAGTGCCTTAATCAGTGCAATGTATTTTCTCGGCATTCTCTTGACAGCCAAGCAACGCCAGAGTACCTCACAACATCAACCATCAAAGCGTCTTACTTTACCTTGACACGTTTTACAACGAAGTCAGTCTCATCCACCATCAATGGAACTTGACTGATAGCTGTTATATCAATTAATTTCTTCTCTAGATGCCAAGTCGATTTAGGTGATTGTTCGTCAATGAGATCATTCATTATCAATTAGACTTTAATTAGACAGTTTTCTAATGAATTGTTGTTTCACTGACCCGTTTGCGTCTTCAGCTTTCACTATGGTCATCTTTCTATCTATCCGCTGTCAAACCCACTGATTCATTCACGAAGTAAACTGCATTCTGTAAAAATGAATCATCTATGTATTTCCCATCCCCACCCCAACAACTAGAGGTCCATCACATCACTTCGGTTGACAGAATCTACACGATATTCAACAATGCAGTGCTAACAGCATTTATTTCATGGAATAACTAACTCTAGTCTACATTCCTCGCCAGCAGTAATATTATAAATGCATGAGCACATAGAAATGAAAGCAACATTTCAAGCAGTCTGTATACAATTTGTGATAAACATACTTCTGAGTCTGCCTGTCGTCTTATCACCTCTCCGACTGATCTGCGTGCAGAATTCAACTCGAATAATTCCGTACCTTCTGGAACAAAAGCAACAGCAAAATAATAAAAATAATAATCGTAAGACAGCTTTACTACGATGATAATAATGGTTGCAGTGCAATATGACTGTCCCCTATCACGGTGACAACCAACAATGACAACAAACAGTGAGTCTAGATACCTCGAGCAGTCGGTGACCAAATCTAAGCTTACTCATTTAGCTCCCAACCAGTAGGTATGGATGACTCGTGAATTCCAATCACGGTTCCATTTCATCGTTGCAATAAATCCAATTTCTGCTTACTTCAATCAATATAAATCTCATTATTTCACCGACAGGCCTTACTATTCGGCACTAAACATTGGTACTAGAGAACAGTCGGTAGTTCTGCCGCTCCTGCTGTATCAGAATCACTTACCGAAACAAAATCAGTGTTTGGCTCCAATTTCCAACATTCAATAACGGCTTTCGGCCTCAACACGAATAAGTCCAGCCAGTCTGTGGCAGTAAATGTTCTTTGATAGTCATATCTAAGAACCAGGCTTCATACTTCACAGACACATGAAAACCGCACCTTAATTCTTTCGTGCTAATTAGTATATGTGCTTTCTTTCTGAGACCCAGCACTTCGATCCAATCAAAGAAATATTAACTCCGTTTCGAAGATGGAGAACACCATTCTACCAACATCGGACACCAAGACATTCACTTCAAGTGTGTGGAAGATTTGATGAGGATTAGTGGTTATACAGTGGTCAATAAATCCTTAGCAAGGAAATGGTAAATTTCTGTACCAATGAACACAGAACTTAATCACGATCACATATAATTTACAACTTACCAACATTATCTGTACTTCCAGAGTTCGGATCCGCCTGATATTGATGATCTCCGGCTCTTTCATGAACGATTATTTTCACCTGTTTCTCCTCTTCTCCATCAGGAGGAGGAATTGAACGAAAATGATGGTCCCCAGAACGTGACATTATATAGCTCGTACTGTTTCCCAATGTTTCTCGATTAACGGCACCCATCGTCTTTACGAAGGAAGGCCATTCTAAAATTCGACAAACACCATTATTCCTAGTGATACGATCAACTTATAACAACACACAGACATAAGACACACGTCAGTTAAAATGAGAAGGCCATCTCTTACGTAAACAATTTAGACGGTTTCACCATTAATTATTTCTCATTGAAAGCTCACACCTCTACACAAAATTGCATCACTTCAGCTTTTCACATTTTAGAAAAGATCACAAAAACTTCGAAATACACTACACAATGAAACATTAACGGGTAGGATATATACCAGAGAGATTGCATAGATGAGTCAATCTCTACACTTATATGTGATCTGCAAGAAAAGGCATCAATACAGCGCAGCATCTCGAGGATACCAGTGACAAAAGACCAAGAACAACGGTCAATAACCGCATAAACTGCTACCATGTTCTTGTCTCAGTGACACCTTTTCAACCTGATCCCATTTCAGTGAACATTGCTCGTCAAAAGTCGTGGCTTAGAATACAATATAGCCATCACAACAGGTGAAGTTTCACAATCCCATCGGCTGCTTTCTCATGATAACCTCATCATGCATATTATGTCACCTACGATAGGTCAATAGATAGCTGAATATTGCAAGCGCACACCATCATACAACATGCGAAATGACAAAACAAGCCATTTCTTTATGTCCCGAGATCTCGTTGGTAACCAGTCCACTGATCTGGCTGGATGCAACTCCTCAAATAAGTCAGTCAGTGGTCAACAACACATCCAGCCTATACACTCTATGCATAAACTACCAATAGGCTCACTCAAATGACACAACACTATTGTTACACATTCCACAGTAAACAATCACTTCCAAAACATACACTGACACGTCTGCTCAGGGTGATTAGAGGACTTCGCATTTTGCCAGTGTCTGAGTACTCCAAATCAACGATACACCTCCTCCCTTGCCTTGTGTCTTGTAGCAAGTCCACCAAAAAGAAATCCAAGTCCTCTGCGGCTAATTTAAATCGCTTTCACAATACGATGTACATTGCAGACATCATTCATCAGACTCAGTGCGGCATCCGTATCCACCAGATAAACTAGAAGTCAATGATGCGATTTTGTAGATATACAGGAGGCTGCTGCATCCAGCAGCTAGAACTCCAAACATCAACGCACACTCACACACAGTCATCTACATACACCACACTGTTCCACAGTTCTACAACACAACGACATAGTTGTCTTGTACTGTTCGCCTTTCAGTGCACCTCCAACTCATTTCGATCGCTGACCTGGGGGCACCTTGAAACACACACACATACGAATAATCAAAAACCTACCAAGCAATCGAATTCGCATACTAATTAAATTCAAGAATATTTCACACTGGTAGTCCTCAAAAGACAATCTTATTAACAGTGAGGATGGATCGATGGATGGACGGATGCGTACCCAATACACTTAACTCACTGCTTCGTAAAGGTGCCGACGACGATCACGATGATGATGACATAAAGTCTGACATTTTACACACCAATTAATAGTTAGTTAGTTAGTAGCAGTACTGGGATTCTTTCAAAGTTTGCAATTATACAAATGATGTATGTACCAAACATAAACAACAATCGAAGTTAAAACAAATTTCAACGCATAAAATTATCCCAGATATTATCACAATCACAATTAAAATGATAAGTGAACATTATATACAACAATCACCACATACCGTTTGATGAACACATTTCATGTGAATGTGAATGTGGATCACAGATTTGAACAGAAACGTCACAAGTTCTTTTCTTAATGGCTTTATTAGTTGTAGACATTTCGTCACCCACTACACTTCTTTCCTCGCCTTCCTTTAATACAACATCCTTGTCAACCAGGTTCAGCAAACTTTCACATACCGATTCCGAGTCCTGATTCGGTTTCGCTTCGACACCTCCACGACAGCATACTCTTGATAAACCGCTGCCAACATCCGAGTTTGATCGGATGCTTCGACGACCTGAAACAGGACAAACACGACATGCAAACTAGTATATGCAAAAGACAATATATCACAATGTCAACTTGTATCTATTACCATACATGACTGTAGTTACGCACTCCTCAAAACTGATGCAAGTGAATCTATTCCAACCCACCTTAGGAATTTTTTAATAATAATAATTTGCTTTATTCCAAAAACAGTACTAATGATAGAGCAGGGAATTTTCAGCATTCAGTACAATATTGCATCTAATTTACTCAAAAACGACAGCAAAAAATAAATAAACGAAATAATCATTACATAATAATGATAACAAAACGTTTTTATAGCAGCTATGTAGCAATTACAGTATACGATAAGGAGAAAAATATGCATAAAGTATAAAATTATAGTAATAGTAGTAATAACAACTAAAATAAAAATAGCAAAGTTATAATTAAACGATAGAAAGGTTGACACCATAAAATTACAGAAAGATGAACAATGAAAGGGTCGATTCACTTTGCTAATTACACAGTAACTTATATGTTTCACGTCTAACAGAGTCTTCATCACATAAAATACTGGTTAAATACGGTATTGTAGAATTTTTGTACTTAGTGGTACGAGCATATAATTTCTTATATTGACTTCTCGTTCTGCCTGATGAGATACAAGGGGATAGTTGTGAATAAAGAGGGTGCAGAGGGTCTGACAGTACGGCCTTTGCCCACTTTGTACAGGAATTTACGTGTCTCTCGACTATAGTATTGGCGAGCTCACGCAGTGGCAAACCACAAGCCCTACTCACAGCATTTAATACCCTTCGTAATATGACATAGTCTTTTTTAAGAAGCCCAGGAAAGATTAATGGAGAACAATAGAGTACAATAGGTAAAATACAGGAGTTTAAAAATTGCAGAACTAAAGGTTGGTTGACACCTGATTGTCTTAACTTTTTAATGTAGAAGGTAAGACGAAACATTTTCTTAGAGACCAATAAAATGTGAGATGACCATGAAAGGTCAGAGGAAAGAACTAATCCAAGGTATTTAATGCTTGACTTGGTTTCAATTTCTGTGCCATCTATGCTACAGGCATCATGGGAACTAACTAGTTCATGTATGTCACGTCGATGCTTGAAGGTAAAGTTAACTGCCTGACATTTGGAAGGATCTAACATAAGACCATTTGACTTAGACCACTTGCTGATGTCCAACAGAAAGCTATTAAGTTTGGAGCAGTCAGACTCGGAAGTGAGAGGCAATGATATAGTCAGATCATCCACATATTTGACAAAATTAGTTTCGTTTAAATGTGGCAGGTCGTGTAGGAAGAAAGAAAAAAGAAAAGGAGAGAGGACGGCACCTTGAGGAACACCGGCTTTTGTAAGCAAAGCAGAAGATTTGCCATTATATGCAGTATACTGCATTCTGTCAGAAAAATAAGAATGCAACCAACTCTTACCCAGGATGCTGTGTGCGTCAAGGAGAGCTTATTTAATAAAAGGCCCCAAGGTACAGAGTCAAACGCAGATGTGTAGTCTAGGAAAGCACCACGAACATATTTGGCACCTTTGTCTAAACAAGAAACAACATTATGATATAAGACAACCGCAGCATCCAAGGTACTTCTACCATGTTTATATGCAAATTGCTTAGGATCATTAATTAGTGTCAATGAAGGTTCAAGACGAAGTAAAAGTAGTTTTTCCATCAATTTTAAAAAAGGAGAAGTAATTGCAATAGGCCTAAATTTAATATCGGTACCAGAAGATTGTTTTGGTATAGGGATAATTTTAATGTTTTTCCATGCAGAAGGTAGAACATTACTGGAAAAGGAAGCATTAAAAATATTAGTAAGAGGGTAACACAAAATATCAGCACAGTTCCTGAGGACAATGGCAGGTACGCCATCAGGACCAAGGCTTTGGGAAGGCTTAAGAGAACGGAGACATTTAAGCACATCAAGGGTATTAAAACCACTAAAATTATTGTCTATGTGATTTGTATCATTAGGAAGGATATCGACAGAGGAGCGTATGAAAGACTTATTAAGATTATTAACATTAAGAGATTGGACAGAAGTACACCGCTTACCGCTAGTTATTTCTTTAAAAAGTTTCCACAAACTAGAAGGGGTTTTACATGACAAGAATCTTTGGTTGTATAAAACATTTAGTCTGTGCATTTCGAGTTTTATCAGAGTATTTAGCTTTTTTACACCTGACTTATCATTTGTTTTGAACAACAGTTCTTTATCTCTACGGAGCTTTTTGAGATATGGAGAAGAGAAACGGTCAAAACGAGTGAATAATGTTTCTTTAGGACAACATATTTCCAAACAGAATTTAAGATAATCTGTGGTGTTTGTGATTGTGTCATTTAATGTTTGTTCTGTAAATAGGTTCCAGTTAGTATCTATCAACATGTATCTGAGTTTGCTTAGATTGTCTTGTGAGTAGCATCTCCGTTGAAATTTACTGTAGAGGTGAGAGAAAACACGTTTGTGTGCTTTGGAATATATTTTAGGCAGTACACGTATGATGCAGTGGATGTTGCAGTCACGGAGTGTGCAAACATGGCACCACCTACAATATCATAGGCATGATGTACTAATAAGTCCTACCATAACATACATGTCTCCACAGTTCCAAATACAGAAACTTTACAACAAACATAGTTTGAGGCTAAGCTGAGATATGCCATACACAGCCACCTACCTACCTATACAGTCTATACACATCAACAATTTAAAACATGCACACAAATCAAACTGGTCAGTCTACATACCCTGTGAACTTTGGAAAGTCCTCTTCACAAAATCAACATCTACACTCTAAAATTTTCTACTCACTAAGTGATTAATATCAAAGACTGATAATTCACAACACACAATTAAACAGCACAACACAAGTCGATACTTACCAACTTCACTTTTCCTCCCAATCAATTCTAAACGTGTACGCAATTCATTCTTCTCAAACTCTGCACGTAAAAGACGCAATCTATGCATATGTAACAATTCCTCCGTTTTAATCAGTTGCTCTCTCGTCTCAGTCAGCTGTTGACGAGTAGACAACCAGCCAGCTTCCATTTCACTTACCTGCTTCCGAAACACTCCACACTGATGTTCCAGATCCTTTTGCACACCTGTCGCTGACTCAACAAAACATTCAAGTTCACCGATCTTTTCACTACTTCGCTTATTCTTACATTCCAGCTCAACGATTTGAGTCACCAGTCTGCAGATTTCTTTCTCTTTCATTGAACAGGAATTCTCAGCAGCTGACAGTTGAACTGTCAAATCTTTATTCGTCGCCTGTAAACAATCAACCAACTCGTTGCTACTTTTCAAGCTCTCTTCAACCTCTAATAAATTTTCTCGTGTTTTGGACAGATCGCATCGTAACTCGGCCACCTCATTTTTAAAAACACGTGATAAAGTTGACGCTTGAAATCTCTTCTCCTTTTCATCCCTCAGCTCATTCTCCGTATCTTCCAAAAGAACTTTTAGTCGACCTGCCTCTCGCAGACCCATCTCCTTCGAATCTTCCGCAACTTTAATGTCTGATAACAGTTTATCTTTCTCTCGACGATGTTCATCCGTCATAATACTGACAACAGATTCATATTCTGAAGCAGAAGTAGCCAGAGTGTTTTTCAATCGTTCTATCTGGAAAAAAGTTTATGTGATGAAAATAGTATGCCGTGTTAAACAATAAAATGACAAAATGAATAATTAAAATGGGCGAGCATGTGGATATTGATTAGATATGTGAACAGATATGTACTTTGACAAGTACAAACGAAAATATATTTCGAAAACTAATATTAGAACCTCCCTTCGTTTATTAGTAGGTCCTACGCCTCCAGAAAAGAGAGAAGATTGGTCGTGGGACTACCGACCCTATCCCGGAAAACAAACCGGATTCACACACAAACACCAACACACACAAAATACATTTTAAAAAACACACTCATTCTACCACGGAAATCGAGCAACAGAATGATATCGGATGGTGAAAGCCTCCTGGAAGTCAGTCAGTTAGTCGATGTGTCTTCCTGAGATACAAGCAAAAACAAGCATGGAATGTTAGCACGATATTCGAAGGTAGGAATGTCGATCAGATTACAAAACATATGAGAAAATATAACATAGAGGAGATAGGAATCTGTGAGAACAGGTGGAATGGAAGTCGACTCTCCACACTACCTCCTTTACATCTTGCACAACCCAGTCAACTTTAGCTGGCCACACACACACACACACAGCTTGACAGTATCGAATTAACAACTGCCTTTAGTGGTGTCATACTGAATATCAGATGGCCAGAAGGGATATGCAACAAGGAACTCTGGCAGGTAGCGAACCAATCAACAACCTAGTGCCCGACAAGAATGTCGAAGATAATGAAGACGGCTCGAACACACAACGAAAGTCCATGACCAATCGTGCGGCCACGGCTAGCTAAAGACAATTCCAGAGGACAGGATGAAATCAAGATGTCCTGTTGAAGCCCTATATTCCACTCGCCGTCTAAGGGATTATAGAAAATCAAAACAAGCGATTCAGCGAAGACTCTTTTCAACGAATTTATTATCACGCTGTACAATCGTATATATAAACCATATACCATATTATTTTTTTTATTATAGCTTCATTCCACACAGTATTTTTGATACAAGGATGGAATTTTCAGGATGTAATATTTATAGCCCAAATCTAGCAGGCCGACTACTGTTTTTAGGCGTGAGTCGACCGGGGATCGAACCCGGACCATATTTATGGTACAGTGTCATGATAAATTCGTTGAAAAGTCTCTTCGCTGTATCACTTGTTTTGACTTTCCATATGTTACAATAGGAATTTTCCACCACTGCTCGGTGGCACAGTGGTTAGGACTCTCACCGACCATACACATGGTCCGGGGTTCGATCCCCGCCGACACACACCTGATATCAGTGGTCGGCCAGCGAAATTTGGGCTGCAGATATCACATGCTGAAAAATTCCATACTTCTACATAAAGGGACTGTGTGGAATCAAGATACAATCAAAAAATCAAAAAAGTAATAATAATGATAAAGTCACAAAAATGTTAAAGCGGCAACAACACCAAAATGCATTCATTCATTGTCAATTATCCCAGGAAGTCAGCAACTCAATTTACATGCATCCAAACTAAGTAACACTACACTCAATACAATAGAGAAAACAGTGACAACCAAAATCCACTCCACAGGAACTCAAATGCATAACCCCCTCCAACGCAGTGCATAAACATTTCATACTCAAGTAGTCGTTATTCAACGTGACTTATTCGCAACACTTCACTGAAGTATTAAGCACATCTTCCTAGTGATTTCCACAACAAATCAAACTTCTTCGCCAGATTTCACTGCCACCTGGCTATCGTGTAGCTAGACAAACATACACGTACGACTTCACAAGAATCTTCGCGAACTCAATACTTTTTGTTTAATTCACACTAGACATATTCACAAAAAACAACAAGCATTCTCTGTATTCCTTTGAAAATGAGATCATGTCGGTGGTCAATTACATTAGTCAACTCGCTTCATTCACCAATCAATCCAGTCACTGATTGACAGTCACACACAATCATTTCTTTCTCCATTCAATAAACCTGGAAAATCAACATCAAAGTCAAGTCTTCATATCTTCGCCTCGTCGTAGACGCTACAATCGACTATCACCAGAACCAAATTGCTCTCACTCAAAGAAAAACCTCATGAAAACATTGTTCGTCAAGCAGATACACACTTCGATTTCACAAGAACTCACCTCTTCTTCAGCAGCTGATCTAAATGCTTTATTCGCATTAACTTGTTCACTCAGTTGCACGCGTAGATTATGATTCACAGCTTTCGACTCACTATACACCCTTTCGAGATCACTAAGTTTTAAATTCAACCGCTCTACTTCACTGGCAGCCTCATCGATTCTCTTCAAATCTTCATCCATCTTCACTTTATTATCGCCAAGATGACAACGCAGAGACGTCACCTAAACAAAATAATTGCCATTCATTTAAATCTGAAAACACACGAAGTCATCGTCTTTGTACAAATGATAAACTTTATGGTAAAGGTACATTGAAAAGGTAATCAGTCGGTAATCCCTCAATAAAATAATATCTCCTCTTCCCAACAACTAATCAAGTCACTCACTTGAATCCTCCTCATAGCAACACTTACAGATTTCTCTTCAATGCACATCTGAAAAATCAATATCTCTACTACCACACACAGACAGCTACATGAAAGCACCTTCAAACAAATCTTCATTCATAATTTATTTCAAAGTATCAGACAAATCAGTCTTCCACACTTTCAAACGCCCAAACAACAGCTGTTACCTTCATTCCAATTACTAGCCAGTCTGTCAGTCAGAGAAGTTGACACCAAACACCGTGTATTCACACACACCCAGTCAACATGCAGGGCAACTAAATAGGCGTACATCACTTCGAATATGCTACACACTCTAATACAAGTTATTCTTATAACATCGACAGGAACCTATGCATTCACTTCACCCACCACGCACCCACTCAGGGGGTCCTCTAAAGTTAATCGATAAGTTCTAGTATCTATCACCTACGCAGCTGAACGACTTCTGGCGGACAGCCTTTTATTGTTTTCCTTGATTGTCTTTTGTCCCAAGCGTCTCTCAACAAAGTTGTTTGTCTTCAAATAAGCAAATGAATTATACTCCTCAATTATCCATTTCTAATCACTCAGTGAGTCTGATCAATCTGCAAGAATCCTGATAAGATGATAAGCGATCACCTATTATTTATATTACACTGAGTATTTCAAAAGACCACCACAGTAAACGGAAATCATCGATTAACTTTTACATCACTTCGACAACTTCAAACTTAATCCTTCATCAGAAACAAACTAATGCAGCATCATAGTCAGCATACAGTCAAAATCAACTGAGAATTATTCATACTCACCTCTGCACTAAGTTTCTGATTTTCCGCCATAAGACAATCCACTTCATTCTCCCATTTGTGTAGGGCCATCTCATTAGCCTCTTTGATTCTACCCAATTCACCGGTTAACCGTCTGTTCTCACCACATAATTCACTTTGTCTCTTCTGCATCTTTGAGACCACCTCCTTCGTATCATTCAATCTCACTTCTGCATTTGAAACCTATTTTATGATATTTATTGAATTGAGTAGAAAGAAGAGAAAGTGGCCGTTCAGATTACTCACTTCAAACGAACTCTAATATCACATGTACATATCTTCACTCTGCATTACTATCATACACTTCATAAAAAATACCCAACGTCTGTGCTGATCATGGTGATGATGATGACGGCGATAATATCGAGGTGCTAAAGTCGAATACAACTCAACCCAACACCTACCTATCTACCTATTGCATACAAAGGCGAATTCAATGAGTAACATCTTCACTAGAATGTCTCACAGAAACAAATAACACGACACAGTATGAAAGTTATCCTCTCTCTCTCTCTTTCTTACTTAGTTGAAAACAAACTAGTAAGTGAAAGCAGCAATTATTGATTCGATTCGTCATTTGTCTGTTGTGTTGTACGAAAAACAACACTATTCATCTTCACTAACTAACCACCACTACTCACTGAATCTTCAATACATGCTTATTTATATCGAAATTATCAAATTCCCATGCAGATATATATGTAAACAATCAAATTTAAACAATGTTGTATATGGAATAGAAGAAGAAATTAAGACATCACATACTAATCATACAATCCAATCATACCTGTTCACTTAATTTTTCAAGTCTTCCATTTATCTGTGAATTTCGCCGACTCATTTCATTGCTCAAAAGCTAAAAAATTCAATAAAATTCACTTGATGAAAAGTAACAGTATTAACCACATTTCAAACAACCCTGTACAAATCACAAATCGAACGAGACAAATTCATCAATTCAACTCAATTAACAATTATCATCAATTATGGTTGATATGACAGTTACATAGTTACATAAAGCACAATCATCAGTCTCACATCAACACACCTTCTACTAATCCAACTAGAAAACTATCCACAATTCACGTTTTCTAGGCATTTCCATTGACTTCAATGTAGACTTTGTCACGTGAAGGTATCAGTTAGAGAATTATCGAAAACCAAGAAGCTCACCAGACAACTACTGTTCAATACTGGTGGATTCACAATGGATATCATGCTGATCTAATCAAAAGTCATTGTGTATGCGGTCCACTATCTCCGGTGTCAGACGCATACTCATCGATGGCACTCGTGAGCTGCGACATCACAGCCTGCGATATGGCAGAAGGTAAAATTAACAGATAACGGGAAATTCCACTCCAGTGACTGAATGCTTAACAAGCTCACTTCGATTCCACCCACATAAACCCCTGGCATCGTTGAGGCTGGATAGACTTCGGTCTCACTCTTCTAAACCTCTAGTGTGACCACCAGTCCACAGCCTCTACCAGCAAAGTACTATTCACTGCTTTCACACGCCCGGCACTCTCTACCGAACTCGGCGACAAACAGGTCTAACCAGGGAAGCTGGAAAACTCTCTTTCCAAAATTATAGTGCACGTAGGCTCCACAATCAGAAAACATTACCACTAACAATAGAAACGCAGCTCCGCTGCTTCACGCATCACACTCTAAATCAAACGCTCCGGGTGTGGTCAGTTAAGCCAACTACCTGCGTTGGTCTCAGTGTCCGGGAAGTATCTCAGCTCTCACACTAATTATCAGACAAAAACCAATGACGGACTATAATTGTGAGCTCAATCTCCAACCATATCTTTAGCAATCTGTTACCTTTTTATTTTATTTCTATGTAAAAACCGCGTCCTTTCATTTTTACAACCTAGGCCAATACTCTCGTCTTCACATTCCTCAGCCATTCGCCCGTCTTTCAAATCTCAGCCTATCTCAACAATTACCACAGGGTGATTACTTGCTTTTCGAATGCTCAACTCCAGTAACATATCTAACACAGTTATCCTGAAACTGCTTATACCGTTCATGCTGGCCACCTACAATTTTCGCACAATGATGTAAATCGGACAGCAGGCGGCTGTGGTCAGATTACTTGCTATCCATGTCTTCTGTATTCCACAGGTCAGTGAAGTGCTTCGAATTTCTTTGTCATTTGCAAGTCTGTGTTCTAAAACATCTCCATCTGTCTATCCCACAACCCTGTGGCGTTTGCATCCACCCCACCAGGTGTCGATGTTCAATGAAGCCATATAACCAAGGCTCCATTACCTGACTGCATTCCCATTAACAGTCGTTGGTTTATGTGGTGTCCGGTCAGGAAGTTGCATCAGAGTAAAAAGCAATTAGTAACTGAAACGATGCCTATTTGTCATCTCTGCCTATGCACACACGGATTTCAGCCAGGATGCAATCAACGACTTCTCATATCGCAATTGAGTCAGCTTCTCAAACAGGCGCATGAGAAACACTCTGCAGTGCCAGCTGTGCACTTCAACCAACAAGGTTAGGTGTGTACGCTAGGAGAAGAGTCGTCCACGTGGTCATTGGGGTTTACGTGATAACACTTCAGATAATGTGGAACGTCTTCCCCAACCCTGAAGTTGCCTGGCTTCTATCATCTATCAGCTACTCAGGCCTACCTCACATCGTTCATATTGTCATCAGTTTCCGATCGCAGCCATGAAAACACGACTGACGCTCCTTTCTCATTCATATAGATCAACTCCGATCATATGACCTCTGAGAAGTACCAAAACTGAGTGAAACTCAGGGCAACCTACTAACCCTCCAGATAAATAGCATAGGTCAGCACTAGTTACATCCACAAGACTTCATGAAAGTAGCAAATCAAGTCACTTGACACGAGTTCCCTGCATCTACTAAACACCCGTCGGTTCATTCTACCAAACAGCAAAATTAACACCATATGGAAGGCTCTCACACCTAAAATACAAAGCGCCTTACATAACCACTGTGTACCCGACTCGTCAGAATGTCCGTGTCACATGCAATCACCAGGTCAATCTGACAATAGGCGGAAACTGTTCCACCTCATCCAAAACACCCACACAGCAAGAAGCACGCTGAGCGAAACACTCTGTGAGGCACATCCGACGCTGATTAACAAACTGAAAAGACACCTGGAACGCTGACAAGACCATTTCCACAAACAATTTAGCTAACCAACACCACTAGCATCCAACTTCATCAGCTACACCCATCCAATACACACAAACAAATCAAAGCGAAGATCCCTAAGGAACTCCAGGTGCTGAAATTCTGCAAGCTCATCACGCCAGACAATTCAACTCTTCTTTTGAATTCTCTCTCACAGAGAAGTCTTCCACAGATGCCTATCAGCATAATGAAATCCCCATTCAGAAACAGCTCACGTAGAGTTATGACATACAACCAACTAACTGTCAATGCTGTTCTCCACCAACACGGTTGCAAAATCTCTGCACTTATCTTCAACTTCGCCATCGATGACATTCTCGAGACATCTCTGAAAGATGTGTGTAGTGGTTGTGTAGATCTGTGTTATGGGGAAAGACTTTTTCACCTCGAGTATACAAACGATATCGTCATATCGTCATACTCTGAGATAACATAAAGGCTGCTTAAATGACACATTATCAGGTAGCAATCAATTCCTATAAGTGTGCTATCTGCTTAAGCTGTCCAAGTGGGAAGTATTAACGGACACATCTAACATCTCTTAGCTCAGGATGTCCAGCAACTCTGTGTAATCCATCGTCGCTGCCACTGTACAACTCCATTTTGAAACACTGGCTCTAGTCACTTCGACATCTGTGAATGTCATCACGGGGACTAGCATACTCTCGGCTGCTCCCCAGCCATGTCTGTGACAGGATGCATAAGGCGCAGGAGTGGCGAGTCTATGACGTAGTATCGTGGAATGAAGCATATCTCCACTAGCCAACCACCCGCTGGTTGATAAATCATGACACCCTGGGTGTAGTCCCACAGGAAATTCGAATCGGTAGTTTCAGACATCATCAGATATCACCAACGATCTTAATCAATGCCCAACATCTTACCATCTCTCTCTTTCTTCTCTTTCTCAAAATAAAAACGAATTGCCACCCCTTCGTCTTGTAACCACCAAAATCATATCTAGATGCTCGGAAGAGTAGACTTATTACTCAAATAAGTATTACGCCTGCATGGAAACATTTCACCTGAAATAGTAACAACTCTACCCACCAGGGAGTGTAAACTTTAACACCCACTCGATGTATTTACACAATTCGAATAACCTGTCTCATCTGAGGCAGAAAATCCCGTCCATATAGACATATCTTGTATCTTACCTATTCTACTTTACTGCTCCCCGTTAGTCTTTCCTGGTCTACTGAAAAAGGACTATACCATCCTGAGAAGGATGTTGAAGGTAGTTAGTAGGACTAGTGGTGTAAAACTCAGTCAGCTCGTCACTACATTAGTTAGTTGATAGGCATCTGAATACATGCGAAAAACGGTCTTAAACCATATTCTCCGACCCCCAACACCCCCTCTATTCCCAGCTCTCGCCTTGTATCTCATCAGGTAGAACCAGAAATCAGTATAAAATAATTTATGCTCGTACAACCAAGTACAGGAACTCAACGATACCATACTTGGCCCGTGTTCTAAGCGACAGAGACAATGTTAAGCGCGAAACCTATGACTTGCTTTCTTGTTAATAACATAATTTTAGGTTCTTTTATTTCTCTCTTATTTTGTATCCTATAGTGAATACCTTCTTAAACATACTTAGCTACCTAAATTATTAACATTGGCTTACTTTTTGTACTTTACTGTATTTCCTTCTTTTGTGTATCTACTGGTTCCGACTATATTAGCACACTGAGCATTGCAAAATTGTCCTGTCATTAACCATCATGTAATTATTAGTTTTGTGGTTGTTGTTTTTTTATTTTCTATACTTTTCGGCAATATTAAACTGACAATCATTGGTTGTGAACGCCATAGTTACCACCTTAAAAAAATTTTGTATTATGCAGGATTAGTCACACTTCCACTACAAACACTGCATTAGACCTGACAATAAACACCAAAACAACAACCCTGAAATGTTATTTTATGATTGTTTAGAGTTGTTTCAACCAACTTGACTGACCATCTTGGCGATAAACATTCTTAAATATCATTTCATAACTTCTTGTATGCCTGTAGCTTTACTGTCACCATGCATAATCATATCATATCTTCCACTACCCAATACTGAGTTATTATTAAATGGTTTATTTTCCCTTCTACTTCTTGGTATTTTTTCGCATTTTTTGAAAATTATTTTGTTTTTCCTGTCTTGTTTTTGCTGTTGGTGTCTTTATATTTATTTTTTTGAAATACTCCTTTTAAATGTTTGATAAAATTAGATGCAAATATTGTAGATATGTGCTGAAAATTCCACACTGTACCACTAGTACTGTTTCTGGAATAATGCAATGATATATATATATATATATATATATATGTATATATAGTCACATATCATGAAACTGTCTCCGTGTTTCATGATAATAACATAAACACCATCTCTAAACATTTGAAATCAGTAATATAAGAAATTAGTAAACAAACAAAAGGTGGACATAAAATCTACCTCAGTTAACTGCTTTGAATTGTCGATAACACTGCCTCGATGTCTTACAACAGCCAGAAGAACTAACGAGATGAATCTTTGCAGGATAAACTTCTTCTTCATACTTTGATATTCGCTTTCAGCTTTCAAGACATCTGACTCCAATCCTTTCAGTTGATTATCTACCATCACAACGGATGCTAAACACTCTCCAAAACCCAAATCACCTATTTCAATCAGAAGTAAGCAAGTAGGTAAGTTAGTAAGAGAAACACAAAGGATCATAATGCAAAGCTTCAAAACACAATTAAAATATGCAATAATCTAATCTCACAAATGATGATTGAACATTACCTTCAATAAGATATTTATACACGGGGCAAGTTAGTTGACGCGGTGTCTATTCTTCAAAATTGAAGCCAAATCACTAATCATCAACCTTTCTCGCCACGAAGAGAAAACTCAGTGAAACATGAAAATTATGTCTCATGTAGGTGGTGCAGGTGGCGGCAGCGGCAAGCATACACATTTATAAAGTGACAATCTCTTCCAAGATAAATACTAATACGATAACATCCACACTCACGACGTCCACCCCAATACTATTGAGTTAATGTCATCGATAATCAACTTCCCTCTTCAGATTAAATCTAAATTAACCACATCCATAATCACTAAACTCATCAATCAATTCATGACTCATTTCACTTTTTCCATCCACAAGAATACACAGACTTCTTGTTCCAGCTGAACAACATTCTCTAACTCACTTCAATAATGAACATCTTTATGGGGAACCTGGAAAAAACAACAATGAAGGCCGCAATCGATCAGACATACTTCTATACCAGGTATGTCGATGACACGTTTGTCATTTGTGATTGTTTTAATGACGCATCTCAAATATGAAAATACGTCCTGAATAGTGCTCGTACTAATATAAAGTTTACAATGCAGTGTGAAGATAAGGACAAGTTTCATTTTCTGGACCTTGGCATCGAATGTGATAAAGATGGAAAAATCATGAGGTACATCTATAGAAAGGAAACCTAGAGGGCGATTCACCTGAACTTCAAAAGCTTCTGTCCTATGAGTTACAAAAAGAGATCGATGAGAAGACTGATTGATCGTGTAAGGAAACTTTGTTCATAAGAAAAAATGAAGCAAGAACTAGGCACTGTTGAAAAATGCCTGCGTGATAATGCTCACCCATAGAAGTTCATCAACAAACACGGAAAGCGTAGACTTGACAAGGTGGAGTACAGTATAGTAGATAAACAACCCATCTTTCTACAGCTTGTCTTCAAAGCTGACGATACTGCTAGTGGAATAAGATGCAGACTGAATGCTGCCCCAAAAAGAATATATCCAGCTGCCAAACTTGTATGCGTTTATCAAACAACCTGTTGTTTAAGACAGTCAAAAGTGGGCAAACTCCTACCTCATGTTGCCTCTAACTGCGTCTACCAAGTTACATGTACTTGCCAAAGCACATACATTGGAAGAACAGAGAGAAGAGTTATTGTCCACATAGCTGAACACACACCAACGAACCTGAGATTAAAGGACCCACAAACATTAAACAGTGCGATTGCACGCCATCTACTAGACACTGGCCATGTTGTGGACAACCTGAAGTTGTTCAAAATAATCAACAGACAAAGGAAACCTAGCCTGCTTCGTTTTGATGTGGCAATCGCAATCAAATGTCCAACACCAAATCTATGTACGCAGAAAGAGACAGTAGTGAATCTTGCACTGCCATGGTGACATCAAAGCGCACAAATTTCACTACGTCATCTTCTGTCCTTTTAAGAAAACTTGGATTTTTTGGCCAAACATGACTCACACCACTCCACCTTTTATCTATTTTATAAGAACGTGTCCATGTGTGGTTACGTAACTCATTACTTTCTATACTCTTTCTAGTTAAACTTTATTTCTACCCACAAAACATTTGTTGAACCCTGTCCTTTTGTTTCCATGCTTAGTCATCCAATTCTTCTATAAACAGTCGATCCTCTTCACCCTTAATTATTCAACAACTTACATTATTTCTGACCAATGTTACTCTCAGTTCCCATCAAATACTCACTATTATTGTAAAAAAATTTGTTCAAATCTCTAATTTAATTTATAATTTCGGTACTGTTCACGTTGTAACCAGTTGAAAAGAATTCAAGAAATGATGAAAATAAAAAACAAGGGCTCCGGTTATCCTGGTACATTTGTTATTCTTCCTTTGTTCAAATAATAACATTATTTCGCTGACACTTTGAATACAATTTTCTTTTCTAACTTCCCAACGAATACCCACCCACTTTACTCCATCAAAAGTGACACACATTATGAAGGAAACCATAACTGCTTCATAAGAAAATACACTTCACAAATGCAAAACATATCATACAAACGAGATAATCAATCCCCCCCCCACCAACCCACTGCAACTTTCACGTATCAATCAGTCAGAACTTTGCAGATATACAATAAACAACCCACACTTTTAGATAAGCTCAAACCAGGATTTCTGTGCACATGCATACATGTTCCACCAAATACACTCTGCTTGAAACTCGCTTACTAGTAGGAACGCACTCAACAGTTGTCTTCAAACTCAAATTACACAGAACAGACCTTTCATGTACCACACAGACTAAAAGCCACATTCATACCGCAATGGCTGGTCATACTACCCAGTTAGCTGTCCAGCTTCAAACAGGTGGAACGAGACTCCACCCTGTCACCAGTCAGCTGGAAACTGAGTGCTCACATATCCACTTCAAACCATACTACAATATGTTTCACCAGCTACTGACATTCATCACAAGTCACAAACAACTGCTTCAAATACGGAGAAAGAGAGAGAGAGAGAGACAAAAAAATACTCACTTGACACAGGAACCTCAGTTCGCGTATCCACTCCTGGCTGAGATGAGTCTGGAGAAGAAGGTGGACTCATCCCAAAACAGCTCAATTCCACTCTACAAGATTCACCAGAAGGCGCTCCAGAAACACACCCTCGGTTGCGAATCAAAGAATTCTCCTTCGCTAACTTCTCCGCTTCACATCTCGCCAGAAGTTCTTCACGCTGACACAACAATTCGTGTAACTGCAACAATGTAAATACAACATGTTTAGGAATGATCTAAGCAGTCATCAGACAAACAATTCACAAAACTACGCCAAAGTTATATGTCGATAGTGTGATGAAAGCGATTTTAGTATGTAAGAGTTAAAGCTGTTAGAAAGTGTCTCCACCTCCTCCTCTTCCCCACACGAATACACTACTTAGTTCTCACTCCACCTCATAAAGAAGATTCCTCACACTGAGTAGAACACACCACTCCGAAATTCTAAAGCAAGCCCATTTAGAAAGTATCTGCTTCAGCTGGCTTCAACTCAGTGACAAAACAGGAGGACAGTGTAGAAAATCCTAGAACACTCAATTCACTTTAAATAAATTACCAGACAAAATCATACGAAGACACTACGAGGAAGTAAAACAACAGAATGTTATAAGTGCTAAAAGAATTCAACCGGAAACAAGTGGCTATTGTGAACACATTGAAACTGTCACTTGTTAATCTATTTCGAATAACAGAAAACAAAAGGAAGCCAACTACACTACACCCATCACGATAGCTGCTTCAATTTCCATCAATTCTTCGCTGAATAAGTGCCATTATGTTTCTGTCAAAACCTAGCTGAAAACTTGTAATCCACCAACTTTTCTGCATACTACAACCATATTTCATTCTCCACCCCTGCCATGCTGCATCACAATACATGCTTTTCACAATGAATCTTCGGACTAGTTAAATGTCGACCACACCGAGTTTGTTCACACGGCCCACGTGTACACAAGTATCTACACACATCAACTTTATCACTATTTCTAATACCTGACCCTCGAAAATCCTCAGCCGTAGACCTTCATTTTACCCCAACTATTATGCACACAGCTGTCATAACATTCATTCAAAACTCACGCACCCATTCCAAAAACACAATTTTATCGCATATGTCGCCTAATGTCTACCATAGACATTCAAGCAACACGTTCGCAGTTTCCACTCATTCCTAAGAATCACTCAGTATCTAGAACACAATTCAAAGCAAAACATCACTTCCACTCAAAAACCATGTATCATACCTGTGGAGTTAATTCAATATGACAACGAACGGTACGTTACGCATGAAATGTTATCCAGTAATACCAATTATATGAAGTACTTGGTAGAAAAACAATTCAAATATGTACCAACATAACAATCCCCATGGCCAACTCTCATACGACCAATTTCCAAATGAACCTTGTAGCCTAACACCACTATTATGAAAACTGCGAAAGACAGTTATCAATCAGGTGGATAGTGCAACTTCCACTGTAAGGGTTTGCTTGCAAATCCCTAACGCCAGTAATGTCAAAGAAGCACACAAAAATCACATGAAACACTTCTCTCACACTAATCGATAAAAAGCTTAGCCCCTCTTCCACAGATTTTATACATTTCTATCACACAACAACAAATACCGATGTTACGATTCCTTCCTTCCTCCTTATCATCTTAACCAAACTTCATCCTTATCCGATCTCATGAATGTGACATAAAGCGTCGACAAATGTGTTTTCTACTCTATATTTCACTGAGTTTATCCCAACCCCCTCGCAAAAAGAAATAAAGAAACAAACAACGACAGTCTGTCAGTCAGTCAGCCAATCGTGTGATGGAAATAACTGTTCCCTTCAACATCTACAAAATGCTCAAACACAGAGAACAACTCCCAACTATGACATGACACGACATGCTGTTCACTGAAGGCGTTAACAAATAATACAAACATACAGACAAACAAACAGACAGACAGATAGATGAGTAGTCAACACAAAACACTTGCACATAAGTATGTCAGTCCAAATCACCACACACCACACCACCAACAAACAAACAGGAATGTAATCAAAATGATACTTTGTAGACAGATTAAGTCGATGGGTGATTTTCAGATCAGCAGTAGTAGTAGAAAACGAAACAATATACTTACTGTTTCAAAAATACAGCCCCAAAGTGATAAGAAGTTGACTAGTTTAGTTAGACAAAGAAGGTATCATGCATTCAAATTGGTCAGCTGCACCCACCTTAACTACCTACACAACTCAAGTGACACTGCTTGAAAATATTCAATAGTGTTACAAGTTGTCAGACAATTTGTCTTCACAGAAGGATACCCCCCCCCCTTGAAGTACACTCAATCATAACTACCTTACCTTGGAGCTTGGCTATTATTCGTGTCTACAACAACTAGCTCAGGTGATTCTAACTAATCGAGCTCCATCATGACTTACTGACACTAACTAATTCGTCATCATGAGAAATGAAGTCCTCTCTCCTGTTAAAGTTTGACAAAAAGTAGACTGTAGACACTGTGCTCAATCTGCAATAACACTAGATACTCTCTTTCAAATAAGTACTTTCACCCCACCCATTATTCTTACACCCTGCTGACAATTTCAAATAATCCATTAACGTAAAAGAGTACGTGTAAACGAACACAAACCTGCACCAATAAGTCACAAATACAATTCTGCCACTAGACAATTCAAACCACTAAACAAACACATTTCAATTTTGAAAACAATTACTTATCATCAAAATGAGAAATAGTATCAAGGAAAAAATAGATTATGCCTACGACAAAAACACTTCAAACTCTACCTACCTCATTATCAGCAAGTTGGGCAGCGACCCTCATTTGCGAAAGTTGACGTTCAAGTTCCTGTTGATAAGATGCTTGTTGACGATAACTTTCAAATTCTCTTTGCTAAGTAAACATAAAATACTTTACACAATTTATCGGCCAATATCTTTTGGAAAACAAAAGTTATACTCAACTCAACTCAACTCAAAACCAGACAGTTTCGCAGGCTCGATATAACAAGTTGTACCGTTAATAATAGCAACATAAATTACAACGACAACAATAAGTGAATGTATTTGTGAATCCTTCAGTAATACGTGCACCATAAAGACGTTCAAGGCAAGGGGTTAATAGACGTAAGAGTTTTGATATGCATCATACTTTGTAATACACCAGCCAGCTTTACGAATACCTGATGATTCTAATTTCTTCCATCCACGCGTCAATCTCTACACACAAAAATAGTTCATCATGAGCAAAATAAGAATAGTGATCACAATTTCCTCCAGGAAAGTTAGTTATTCTGACTTATTACTACTATAACTACTTGATATAGTGAGATCATTTTCCACTCAAGTTCTCTTAGTGTATTCGCCAACACTTCATAATGACTCGCACACACAAGAATATAGACAAACAAATGAAATCCTACAGCTCGGTAAACACAGTCATATTATTAGCAAACGGAATAATGCATATGATGGTAGCTGTTATTATCAGTACTGATCGAAACTCAAACAATTCTGCAAGTGATCATTTTAACTCGATCAGAAAACTCAGTACACAACACAACAGTACAACAAAGTCTTATAACTACAAAATTTATAACCAGAAGTAAGTATACTGCACCAACTTCCAAATGTCAGTTATTCTCTTAACTTCACACTTATGTCATACTTTATCACAACAATCTGTCTGTATTTCAAACTTGCAAAAACACTACCATAAAACCAACCAAATTGGACGGCCTTTGAAACTATGGGCACTGAGTTCGAGTCTCGGTGGGAACATCATCACTCACTGGGGAGTGCAGGTACATCCAGCTGACAAGTTCCAAATAGGACGAAATGCACATCCTGGACTCCACTGCTAGTCACCATCCACCAATTAAATTCTAATTACATACCCAGACATCGTCGAAGCATCTGCACAAGAAGCCGACATGTCAACCTAAGACCGAGCACTTCGGTCCAATCAATCGACGGGAAAATCTAAAATTCAATTAAATAACTTAGAAAAATACTTTCAAAAAATGCCATCCCGTCAAACCTCCTCTTCTTCTCTGTCTTTCTCAAGTATTAAATTTAATACATAAGCAATCCAACAATTAATACATCACAATGCTTGATATACATCATTCTGCTTCCACTTCCTCATATCATGCGTGCAAATGTCAAACCACTGGGCACCACCATTACGCTGTTTACAAATAACTGTACAACATCACACAATACCACCAATATATAGTTTATGAAATAACCATTGTGCAACTGCATCACATACCTTGGCTTTCAGACGACTGTTTTCCTCTAACAGTTTCTCATTTTCTTTACTCACGTGATCCATAGATTTCAATTTCTCCCTAGCATCCTTCAGACTTTCCTGTAAACTGAATCACAAAACAAATTATCTCATAAAACCCTTGTCCAACTACAAATTTCCACTACGACAGCATACAAATTATTCTTAATTTTCAAAACCTAAAATCAAAGGTTACAAAACCACAGTGGATTTCTGTTACTTCATCCCAACTGACTGAGCAAGAACATTGATTCTGGAAAGCCTCACACATCACCGGTAGCCAAAGCTGTTCAAACGACAACTCAAGAAGTTTACGCAACCACCACGAACAATGGTGGACGACAATAGCAGAAGAAATGAAAAAGGCAAACCACAAGTGAGACACTCTGAGAGAAAAGTGACGCTTTAATTAGGTGTTAGGATAGACAACTAGAACGTTGAGGCGAACATCTTCAGGAGAAATGTAACTGGCTCACACCTACGCTCAATTTTTCCACCACCCAACACCTACCTAGATGCCGTGTAGATATCGATCCTACACATGTAACTCACATCACAAAGACTGTCTCTAATCTCAAACAAGGAAAAGCAGCACCATCCCCAATGGGACCACACCACTGGTGTTTAACTACGGTGACAACAAACTGCTGTCTCGGTTAGCTAGGGTATTAGGCAATGTCTAGGAGTCACACATACTTCCGTCACACTGGTTTAAGTCACTGATTGTCCCTGTTTATTAGAAAAGAGACAAGTCTTCCTGTAATAATCAATCAAAAGAAGATTAGCTTCACTAACGTGGGGTCTGAAGTTCTAGGCTCAAAAATCAAGCCGAGATTAAATGATGCTCGGGAGAGAGTAACACGGGGAAACCAGACAGGCTTTAGGCCAAGAACACAGTGACTTCAACAAATCTTCATCCTTCAACACATTCTCCAACATAGACATACTTACCGGCATCCAACAATTGACACATCTCTTAACCTCAAGGCGGCATCCGACATTGACTGTCAAGGCAGTGTACAGAAAGTATATCGCACTGACTGACGCAATCCACTCGTGCCAATCAAGCCGTGTAACAGCTTAGGAGAGTTGTCATCTCAAGCGGTGACACTCAGCGATGTCCATCACGCATGCCTCTTGTCCACACTTCTCTCTAGTTTCACCTTACATGTATTGATGCAGTCCACCCTATTTCACTTCAGCGACTTACGGATTGACTTGGTATCAACGAACGGTCCTGTCAACTCATACTATGCAGATGATATAGTCCTCCTACATGCAGATACTGATAAAATCAACAGTCTTCTCAATACCTTGACCAGAAGTCTTCGAATGTTTCGCATGCAATTTGCTCCTATCAAATGTAAGATAATGAAGCAGGAATGGATTCAACCAACTCCCCGCACAAAGATACCCGGGGAATCGAATGCTAGAGCCTGGTGAATACTTCACTTATTTGGGAAGTTGCATCAGCCACAATGCATTAATGATTGCCAACGGAATCTCATCACACATACAAAAGGCTCGTGTGGGATTTGCCAACATACGTTGTCTCTCGTGTAGACAGGATATTTGGCTACTGATCGAAGCACGTGTGTACTGCCCAGCAGCAGTTCGCTCCGTCCTCCTTTACCGTCACAAGGCATGGCCACTGAAAGTGGAAGACATAAAAATCCTACCTGTCTCCAATCATAAGCGTCTGCGTCCTATCTACCATCTTAAATCCCATTATATGGTGAACGATATTCAGGTTAAGCGAACTGCTAGGTAAGGAGGGAGAGTCGAACGATGAGGCTGTGAAGGTGAACCAGTCGATATGACCAGGACACGTTATCGCCTTCCTCAACGAGCAATGTTAACCGACATATGATTCAGTTGGCAAGCAGTTTGAGGTGGCCAAACCAAAACCTCACATCATTCCATGCAATCTTTGACAAGTAGTTTCAGCTATGTCGGGAGGGAAACGTACGCTGTTTGGTTGGTGTCCTCGGGATGCTATGAACCAATGACTCGAGGCAATTGGTGATATGGCTCAAAATCGTTCTCAATAGAGCAGATGCACGTACACCCTGTCATCACCCATATCCACCAAACTGTCATGTTCTCCATAACATTCCTAGTTAGTAAACTACTTTGAACCCTTCTCTTCTATCTCTGTCGTCTACTTCGGTGTACTACATGCAATGTAGCAACTTAAAATGCTGCACTTCTCTACTAACTTCTATGTTCAGACTCATTCTCAGTGAGAAATTTTCAAATCCCACTAGAAGTCTATATATAAATGACGCTGAGCATGATCATGCTTTTAAACATAATACAACTGCATATGTATGCATAAATTACAACTTACTCATCAACAAGATTCGACCGCTTTTCATGACGTGAACGCATTTCAATCTCACACGTCAACTCGTCACGTAATTCCCGCAACTCTGCTTCACGTCGCTTCAGACGCACCTCAATCTCTCTTCTTTTCATTTCCGAAGCCTTTAGCTCCGAATTTAGGCGATTTAATTCGCATGTATTGTCTTCATACAAATGCTGGATCTCCGAGAGTTTTGAAGACAAACTTCGTATTTCATCCAGTTTAGATAGAAATTGACCCTAGGTAAAAGGTATACAAGTGTAAATCAATAGTAACTCTCACACTAACCTCCTCATCAATTTAGATGTATCTATTTATGTCCTTATTTTACTTTTACTTTTCATGTTTAGACTGCAGACAACAAAAATTGATTACTAATTTATATATGTACTTCAATTATCTACTACAATTCGAGAAATGATAACCCTTCAAAAGTTTATTTATTTATGCGAATGTGCACATGGAAACCCAACGCTAATAAGTATAACAAGTCAGCTAGAAAGTATCTCTAGCCCCACGCAATTACAACCTTCCATCCTACTTTCATCATTTTGCAGCGTTTCATAGTCGAGAGAAGACATGGGAGCGATTTGTCAGATATTGTACACTTCTCCGTTGACCTTCACAAAGAGCTATAAACCTCAAGTTATGTGATTTCAAATTACTCCAGGTGGTAAATTCAAAAGACTAAGGCTTCATTCTGCTTCCTTTTTCTCATACGATTAAATTAGGTGTTGGTAGGTTCATCGAGAAAATGACTCAAATGAACATCATAACTGACAAACTCCATCATGATTTCCTCAAAAAACCGTTAAAACTCATCGGTTTTTAATATTAGTACACATTAGAAAATGCATGACCTGTACAATCAGCTGATAAGTAGTCTAAATACACCACTGTATATCAACTTCACATTTTCTACACAATGCACTAATATCTTCAACTCGCTGAATACACTTTATGTCATACGCTTGCTTTATCCCACTGAAACCACTTCACAATAATTCCTTAACACATCCTCTACCTTCGCCGTAGACGTTAAACACCTGACGAAAACGTACTGTAACATTTGCACTGCAAACACACTGGACAACATTCGCTTACCTTGGGAACGACCTGTGGTGATTCTAAAATTGACTTCAGACAATACAGTGGTGAGTCGATTTCTGATCCAAAGTCAGCCTTTGTCACAAAACTTTTCACTTTCTCCATGTCACAACTAGAATAAAAACACTTTCCTGGAGACAAATAAATCGAATGGCCAGTTGATTTGTAAGAGCCTTCATTCTCGCTATGAAAATCATCAAATGACACTTTGGAATTAACCATTGTTTTCTCCTTGTGTCCAAACGGTAACGATGGGACTCTTGAGAAGGCAGGGCAAGTCAGAGGAACTAACAAAACCTTATTAACAAACGAAACTTACCCTTAAGAGACTTGGTTTGACGGATTGGTGTAACTGGCTGATTCTCCGAGCCACAACATAGAGCCTCGAAAGAAGACACTGATATGGGGCAATCTTCGATCAGAGGTCGAGTCATTTCAACAATGTAATAATGCATCGTGCTAGGAAGCTGGAAGGCTGCGTTCATAAATAATTCGGGTTTCAGACTCAGTCCCATAGTCAGGACCAACAATAAAAGCTACACAATAGTGACATATTCATAAGACTTACACAGTAGTGCGTGTACATCGGTGGACGATTTTCTTCACTCTTCTCCGGAATAACCGTGTTTACGTCAACGGAATAGAACTCTGAAACATTCTTACTACTAATCCAAGAAACATACCTGACAAAATGCTGTACACCGTCTGTGGTATGCTTTCGATCTCCTCTCTACGGCAGAAATCGGAATCCTTCCTATGTGTGATACAAAATGCAAACAGAGTAGTTGACTTCATCATCTGTATCATATTCATGCATACACTATAGTCAGCGAATAACATCCCAATCACGATATCAGTTAGACATCTGCTTTAAAGTCAATATTCCGGACTTTCAAGTCTGCATATAAATACTGCATACATAATATTAAATGACAACTTTGGTAACAACCACGGAACTTTCATAGCAAAAGGCTGGCATGTTTACGGTGAATTAGAGCTGTAGGTGACGTGCAATTTCTAATCCAATCCCTATCTCATTTCTATTTGAAAACACTTCCGAAACAAACATGGTCGATTAGCATCCAACATGCCGAATAATTATCTATTTATTGCTTCACGTATGAATATAACTTATGGCTAGATGTAATGAGAACAAGAAACAAATCATGACGAACTCCCACTGCCAAATGGATGCAAGTCTTATTATTGTACGTATTACACACAGTTATTCATTATCGGACATGAATTCACAAATTCTCTAGGCAGATGATGGTTTTCGAATTTTAAGGAAACTATATCCTGGCAGTCTCGCTTTCTAAGCATTATAAGCTGTCAGCATGAAGTCATATTCACGTGTACACAAATCACCCACCAATGCTTCTGTGAACAGCTCAAGAAAGTGGTTCTCTAAGTACGTAGAGTTGAAGTCAAAATGACTGGATCAAATTTTTCTATCCCTTATGCATAGAAATTGTTACTAATAAAATCAATAAAGACAGTAAGAAACATTCAAAATCGAATGCATCATTCTGTCAGACGATAAGTGCACCTCAAATGAAGCCTTGAGTCACAATCAGTGTGATACACTAAGTGCAATAAGAAAACATGCCTAAGTTGATTAGCGTAGTCGCATCACCGAATCAAACCAACTTCTCCTAACTTATCACCCAGCACGAGTCATGCTTTCAATGTCATCCTTATGCGCTGATGTCAGCCGCTTTATTTACTGTTCAACTTCTAGACAAAAGCTGGCGAAATAATAATGTCACCATATTACCTACTAGGAGCTAGCTCACAGCAGCATTCGGGCACGACTCAAAGCAAAGCGAAGAATTCAGCGAAAACCACAAGCCCACGTCAAATGCACATAAAACAGACAAAAACATATCGGTAAAAAGCTGAATACTACTGCTTACGCCAAATCAATCAGTTCCAATAGGGTTCGCCACTCCCCAATATCTAAGTTCTTGTTTCCCGGGATGATGAATTTCACCCATTGTTGTAGACACTTCACTTTGTTTTCACTTACTTCCATAGTTTTAGCTCTTAAGTTTGGGCTAGCGAATAATCAGGAGGTTTGTGGGAACAAATATTTGTCCAAGATCAAATTATGTTGCGCAACAGAGAAAATCAGTCGTCAAGGCGATAAACGATGACAAACCACTTGAGTGGTGAGTCAACCGTCTTGATGAAATACGTTGGCTTAGTGTAGACGACCGAAGTCAACAGACTAGGACAAACAAAAGGTAAGCGTCTGACAGGGATCTTCGAAATATCAAAGCGCCCCAACACAGTTTGTACGCCCTCTCTCGATAAGTTAAAACAATTCGATGTTTAGGTGCAAAGTATAAAAATCCTTCACATTAGTTAGCATATATGTCTAATTTAACACAAGAACAGAAAGCCAATTTAGCCGTCAGTAAAACAGTCGGTGGAATTCCAGTTTTCAGCTTCAAATTAATAAGAAGAAACTCAGGAGTCTTACATTTCTATACACTGCCATTCTCTCCTAGGAAATGTTTACCGCCCAGGTTAGCGCAACCTCCCTGCTAGGTTTCTTTCACCGGTATTTCTCAATCGGAAAACAGGTATTCTACGAAGTAGCAGTGGCAGCAGCTGCATTGTGTGCTGGAATTCACTGTTTTAGTGACACGCCACGGGTGACAACCACACCGTGTTCTCTTCGGTGGCGCCTGAACAATTTACAGATGTAATGTAATTTATATTTTTCATCGTTCAGGTTGTAACCAGTTGAGAAGAATCCTTGAAATAATAAAAGGTGAGTTCACATTATCCTGGTACAATAGTTGTTCTTGCTTTGTTCAAATTTACAGATAGGTGGGCAAAGTCTTGATCGGACAACGCTGATCCACATTTCGCAATATCGAATTGTTTTCCTCGCTTTTTATCAAGCATCATTCGCGTCGTGTGGTTTTGACCAGTTTATCCTCTTTGGGGCATGATATACGCATGCTTTAATCTTCATCGCGTTACGTACATTGTGCCAGATCGTTTGAGCCATATCTCTGAATGATGTTAGTGGTTCCGAGTGAACAATTTATTGCACTCTTGCACATAATTAAGTCTTTTGGAGTGAGTTATGGCGAATAGACTTGCGTATTTGTTGAAGATGCATTTGAACCGTTCAGATATCTCACAAATTTGACTCAAGAAGATAACCAACCTCATAGATTTCTTCATTAGGCTGTGATGGACTGAGTCCTAGTCCCTGTTCACTTCTTGGTAACCTGAATGAAAAGTCCTGATTTCATAAGTGGTGAAGTTTGCTGCTGACTAACGCCACACAGATGGTACTTTGATAGTGCTTCTGTGCAACTTTGAAATAAGTAGTGCCTGCAATCTGCTTGGATGGCGAAAATGCCTTAGTACAATCGTTATCGTATCGTTCACACATCCATATCATAATAATAATTTTATATTTTCATATAATATGCTCTCAGACATTAAGTTTGTTTCGTTCTGTACTTCTGGCGACTATGCTTATTAGACTGAATGAGACGACCGATCTATCTTCTCTCATTTTGAAACAGCAATGCAGACACGTAACTGCCATATGCGTAAATAGGTTTCCACAGATATACCATCACAAAACAACGTTCACTTATCCCGGCAGCCACACATGTGTTGCATCAGAAATTCAACCGTTATACGACACGGCACTAGGTCATACTGAAACAGTCAACCGCATATGCTGGAGGTATTGTTGACAGCCTCATCACTGACACTAGTTGCCTATTTCAGTAAACTTTCGTGACTGACTCAACTACTTCATGAATGATTTGGATCATGGACAGGTTGCACTAAAACCAATTTTTACATCACCTTGTCAGTTTGACAGTGGTATAGCAATCTATTTATTTCATCACATGAGTCTTCAGCCTTGCAGTCGGAGAAATCTCCTGCAAAGTGGTCAATCTGCCGCACCTACTCCGACACTTACGGTGATGGCAAGAATGGATCAATGACATGGGTTGGGAGATATCCT